GGCTGGCCAGCAGGCAGGGCAACTGTGCTGCACATGCCTCTTTGCCCCTGCCTAGCAAAAGCAAACTAAATTATGCAAAACAAGCCAAGAGGCCATTTTAACTGTGCAATTTACAGCAACCCTGGGCAGACTTCAGGTTTCCTGCAGCCCCTGAGGTGCACAAACCTGATCCAGATACAAAATAGGAGCTAGGGAAGTGGAATAACCAGCCTTGCATTTAAGCACTAGCCTGATAGCCATTACGTGACAAGGTGTGGCATGCAGCAAAGTGAGCAGGGTTGGTGGTGGAGGGATGCAGCGTTCTCTCTACGCCCAGCACAGAAAGAAGCAACAAAGATCTTTCCAAGCAAGGTCCTGGGTCAATATTCTGACCTTGTCTTGCATGTTTTTCCTCTGCATTTTCCTTTTAAGAATCCACTCTGTTCCTGCTTCAATGCGTTTCCTGCTGTGAACAATAATCTTAATTCTGTTGCCTGGGAAGAAAGTGGTAGAAGAATTAATTGCCTTCCTCCTGCCTAAGTGGGGGAGGCTGTGGTTTATTTATTTATTTTGCAAATTGGAAGCTGCAGAGAGTTTTGGATTTGAAAACCAGGGCAACAGATCTTTTAGAGAGAAAGCTATTTCCCTCTCCCACCCTAGCTGGCCCAAAGCAGCAGAGCTTGGGAAGAGCTTGGGAACTGGTGATCTTTCCCCCCCACGAGGAATCCCCTCCCCCCCAAAAAAATACCTTCCCCAGGATTGCTCAGTTAAGATAGGAAAGGTTCTCTTAAAACACCCACCATTTGACAGCAAAACAAATGAACAAGGGAAGGGGGTCCTCTAAGTGGTGTGTAGCACTTCATTAACAGTTCCTGCTCCTTCAAATTGCCAGGGTTTCTTTTATTTTCCTGGTCTTGTTCCTGTGTCTTTAGAAAGCAGCCTGCTGCCATGCACAAATTAAGCAGTGAGGGTTTTTCCTAGCATGGCCGTAAACAGGCATGAAAGGCTTTTTCTGCGTTTCAGACTAGGTGACCAAAAAGTTTAACTTGTGGTAGGTACGTTGTGTTCCAGAGGTACACAGCAAGTGAACAGATTTATGAACCCCATACACATATAAAATAGAATTTCTGGAGTGGACAGCTGAGCTCTGCTGCCTCTTCTCCTTTCCATGCACAAACTATTGACCCTGACTCTGGATCTACATACTTAGCTACAAACATAATGCTCTATCAGTCACTGTCCTGCTGCAGCTTAGCGGTTTGGGAAAAGAAGCAAAACTTAGGCAAAGACCCCAAATTCAAAGGCTTGGTTTGTGCACGAATCAAGACCACCACAAAGGATATCAAGGGGAGCAAACGGAGAAACTGGCGGCTTGGAGTCACATGCTGAGCAATTATTATCTTTCACTATGTAAAATAAGTTACTTAAGCTCCAACACAGGAAGTCTCCTCCCTACAAAACAGCTAAATATGAGGTAGGAGGAAAGGGTTAAGACAGAGGCAGGGAATCTGCTGCCCTCCAAATATTATTGGGACTCCAACTCCCATCAGCGTCAGCCAAGGATGATGTAGTTCAACAACATCTGGAGGGCTACAGATTCTGCATACATGGGTTAAAACGTGGAAGGAATGTGTCTTCTCTACAGAAAAAGATGAGTGCCATCACTATTGCGGCCCACAAAAGGATTATTCCATTGCATCCACCCTAGTCATAATATATGGGGTGTGTTGTTGTTAATAAATAATAATAATAATAATAATAATAATAATAATAATAACTCCATTAAGTATTCCACACAAAGAGTGCAGGAACACTAAAAGTCCCCAAGAGAAGGTCTAAAAACCAAGGCAGCTCAGAGATACTTGAAAAGATAGTGGTTGACACAGTATAGCTATAGTAAAAGGCGAAAGGATTTATAACGATAAACTGAAGAGAACCAAGAGTATATTAAGGCTACTGGGAAATGATCTATAATGAAATCAAAAAGGTCCTTAAATGGACATTTCCTAAAAATTGGTGTTAGGAAGGACAGAACTTTTTTTATGTATGCCAACTACAGCAGCAAGGATTCTTCTGGCAAAAGTATTGGAAGACAGCAGCAGCTACCCACTCTGGGAAGGAAATGGCAGCGAAGGGGATTGAATAACATGGGAAGGGCTGAGATGACCGGCAGAATCCGTGACCAGGGGAAAGAGACAGTGGGAAGAAGATTGGAAGAAATTTAAAGTATTCTTGAAAACTGTTGTAAAATTTGAGAGTGCTGAGATGTTATGGTATTAAGAAATAGCGAATTGCAGCTGTATATTCATAAATTTAAAGGAGCTATAATTGAAGATAAATTAATAATGAAATGAAGGGTTGCTGTTAAAAGGGAAAATAAGGATGCCACGAAAAAGGGAGGTATGGGGAAGTCCGGAAACAAGGTTGAAGGAGAATGAGTTTGATGAGATGTACATGTTTATTTTGTGTATGTTTTGTTTTGGTTTTGTTGTTTGTTTATACTACATGTTTGGAAAACTAAAAAAAATTTATAAAAAAAAAAAAAAGACACAGTATAAGCTATGACTAGTCCAAAAGAAATAGGACCGGGGATGGCTCAAATGTACTGTATATTTCTTCCTCTAGTTAAATCTAGCTTTTTCTGCCGCCTGCGAATAGTGCCTCTCCGGGCAGAAGAAGCTTGAAATTTTCCAGTGATAGCAATAGAGCTTGAGTTAAGTCTCAAGGACGCCTGTGGAGGCAGGCAATGAAAACACTGGTTACAAACTAAAAGCTCTGGCTGCCGTTTTCCATTTATAGCAAGGGCTTCGGGGATAGCAGCACTTGTCCTTGGCCTGTTCCACCCACTGCCCAACAAAGTGCTCTCCAAACCAGGAAGGGGGAACTCAAGCTCTCCAGATGTTGCTAGGCTGCGACTCTCATGATCTTTGATCATTGGCCATGCTGGCTGGAGCCATTGGGAGTTGTAGTCCAAAAACAGCTGGAGGACTACAGCTTGTCCGCCCGTTTTAAATCTCCAATAGACGTGAGCAGCCAGTTTCAAAAGGGTGGTTCTTTTGTCATGTCCCTCAGCCATCCTGCTATCCTTATGTGCATGGTGGCTAAAAAGCTATGGCTGCGTCTCAAAAACCGGGTGCAGCACCCATGGTTGCCTATATCCCTACCATATGATCAGAGGCACTGGGTTCAAAGCAATGAGGTCAAACCAGCCGTCGGCTACCAGCTGAAAAAATGGGCTAAGCCAACATGGATGTAGCTCCGGGTGTTGTTGGAACTACAACTCTCATCATCCCTCGCCATGCTGGCTGAGTCTGCTGGGAGTTGTAGCTAAGCTCTCTGCAGTGTTTACATGCAGAGCTGTGGTTGCCCTTGATGGCAGGCAGAGAAAGTGAAGTACAAATATGCCACAAAGCAAAAGATCCTGAATCGGCGCAAGTGAGCCCTGGCACAAGTCAAACTAAATTCTAAGCCCAAAAGTCCGTGTTGAACAATGCAAACTTGCGGCTCTGAGAAGTTCCGCACTCACGTACTGCATTGGGAGTGAGGGCAGTCAACCAGCTGCCATACACAAGTCCAGTTCTCCCTGCAAGCGAAGCCCTGAGTCGGCATGCAATGAGGTCACTATTATCTACTTCTCCTCAAAGATACGGACAAACCCCTCGCTGTAGCGCAGCAGAACTGCCAGGGAGATATTTACTGCCAGCCCTCACTGCTTTCAACTACCTCTTCAATATAAAATCACACCACCAACGCTCCCATTAAGATTCATGGAGGGCCTTCACAATGGAGATGGGACTCAGGTATGGTTAATCCCTGCAAAAGAAAACACACAAATGGCTTCATGCAGGAGGGGCAACCTCCCAAGCTGTGGCACAAGGAGAATGTACATATATCAAGATAGACAGGAAATTAAATAATATTTTAAAAGTAAACGGGGAGCTAAATGAAGCAGACATAATCCAGACTAAGGCTGAGATGTGAACTGCTAAAGCTGCAGACTGTGCCGGCAGATTCTGCAAAGCACATCTGAGAGTAAGGGACAAGGTCGGTGTGGCGTTTGTCCGTTCTTTTGGAAATGTCTGTACAGGGGAGAGAGAAAGGGTTAATAGGCAGACCAATAGAAAAGCCAGAGGGGCGGAGCCTACCTGTTTTTAAAAGGCTTAGCCAGAGGTTTAGACAGTTGGGAAAAAGCAGTTGGGAAGCAGTGAGACAGATGGAAACATAGAGACAATTAGTGCAGTTGGTTCTTGTGTGAGGGGAGGTAGAAGAGTTAGAGATAGGATAAAATAAGACTAATAGGGTAAAGGGTAACAGTGTTTCGAACGCATTTAAAGTTTATATGTATTTGCAATAAATTACAATCTTTGTTGTTAACATGAGAACCCAACTGAGACTAAGTGATTTACCGGGGAGAACCTGGTTGGTGGCAGCAGATTAGTGGTGTACGGGTCAATAGTCCGTGAGACGACTGGGGGCTCCGTACGAATGCCATAGCCGGCTGCTCTGGCTTGCAGATGGTGGGGGCAGAGAGAGGGGTCACTTGGTGTTGGACCTAGCCTTTGAACAAGGAGGCAAATGCTGTGACTCAGCAGGCACTAGCAAGAGGATATTCCTCGCAAGTGGGATCTTCTAAACAAAGCTAGTCAAAAAAGCAATAACAGATCGGTCCAATCATTCAGTCAAGGGAAGGGAAGGACTTTTCCTTTCAAATGACTGAACATGGGAGAAAACGTTGACCCCCTAAAACCTGTCCCAACGAAAGCCTAACCCTTTTAAGGTTGACCACGATTCACAACATATAGGTAGAATTCAAGTATCTTTTGCATAAAGCGGCTCATTGGCTGGGGCCCTCCAGGGAAGGCTGGACTGCAGCCAGCAATGGCCCAATGGTCAGGGGGTGATGGAGGATGAGAATCAGGCAACACCTGGAGGACCACTGCGATAGGACTGTGCACGCTATGAGAGAACACAAAGGAAATCTGATGGGGGAGGTCAACTATGCAAATCACGAAGGCTCAAAGCAGTGTTATATATTTTTTTAAAAAATCACATTGGTCCCCAAGAGCGTAAAGTGCTTTCCCCACCCACCCAAATTTAGGCTCTCGCAACTGCATGTGCTGGGTTGTTTAAGAGCAGGCAGGGAGGAAGGGAAGGAAGGAAGCAGACTATCAGTTTTACAGAACACAACGAGGGGCAGTATGACTGCGCAGTCTGTCCTGGAAGAGAGAAGCCACAACTTAAGTTATCTCCAAGAGCGATAATTAAAAGTGTGTAAGTGTGTGTATGTGTGTGTGAATATAAATAACACTTTCTGTAGAGGGTTCTCATAAATAAAAGGCAATCCTTCACGATTCAAGCTGTGGTGAGTTCCCGCAAGGCTGCCCTGGTGCTTCCAGTAGTCTTGGTAACAAGTGGCTGCCGTCCTCTCGCACTCGTTCTCCGTCTCCTGCTCTGCCGCCGCCGCTCTCCGCTTTATGTACAACAAGGGTTATCAATGACCAGCATGACATCAATGCCATAGACTTCCAGTAGGTCCATGAGGAAGCTACGGTCGCCTTGGGGGTCCAAGCCCATTCCTCGGGCGTGGTCAGCTGTCAAGGTCTTGTCCTGGCTGGCTGACACCTCCATCAACGTCTGGAATATCCGGTTGTTCTGCTCCATGAAGAACCTTCAGAGATAATGCAAAATGGAGAGGTGTAAAGCCCAAAGCAGATCCAGCACCCCTCTTTGATATACTACGCCAGCCTTCTTTTCTCTTTGTTTTGGTTTAGATTTGTGGGGTTTTTTATTGCAATGTATTAGGAGAAGTTTTAATAAAATATTACTTTTTTAAAAATAACGAAAAAATGAAAAAAGTAGGGATACGCAGACCTTCAGGCTCTATTTTTTACTAGGACTGCCAGAACCACCATCAGGAAAGTACTGCAAAAACAGAACGAGAGCATTTTGAGCCCTGGAATTTTGTTTTGAGTTCCAGAATTCCATAGGCCTTACAGTCCTCCCACCCACAAAAAACCAGTATGGCTTGGGGAAAACTGGGTGCTGCTGCCCTTTCATTGCCACTGTTGCTAAACAACTGGGAGCCCCAAACCATTGGTGATCTGCCACAAATCTCCCAGTAAATCCCGTGCCAGCTACTGCCCACCCCTGCTCTGAAGAATCCCACAGGAACAACTCACAGGATAAAAAGGTCCTCTTCACAAGAACTGCAGTCTCCATCCACTTCCTGGGAGTACATCAGCATCTGTCTGAATGACAGAGAAACACAACTGTCACATCAAAACTGCTGCCTCTCGAATGACTCCTCTAGAGACTTCCAAAGGCAATTCCAAGTGATGCCATTGATCTAGAAAGATCTGAAGAGCTTGAGAGCCTTGTACAGTGGTGCCTCGCAAGACGAAAATAATCCGTTCCGCGAGTCTCTTCGTCTAGCGGTTTTTTCGTCTTGCGAAGCAACCCTATTAGCGGCTTAGCGGATTAGCGCTATTAGCGGTTTAGCGGCTATTAAAGGCTTAGCGGCTTAGCGGCTAAAAGGCTGTTAGCGGCTTAGCGGCTTAGAAAAAGGGGGGGGAAGCGGGGGAAAATCGCAAGACGTTTTCATCTTGCGAAGCAAGCCCATAGGGAAAATCGTCTTGCGAAGCAACTCAAAAACGGAAAACCCTTTCATCTAGCAGGTTTTTCGTCTTGCAAGGCATTCGTCTTGCGGGGCACCACTGTATATCTAAGGGACCAACCATCTCTTTCCCTATATCCCAACTTGCCTCAAGATGACCAAGGCCACACAGCAGAAGTGGGGGACCTTAGGCCTGGGTGGAAAATGCAGCCCTCTGGGCCTCTCTGCCTGGTATTCAGGACTCTTCCAGGACCACACCCCCTATTCCCAGGCTACACCCCTCAGTGACCCTCCTCTGGGCCATCCTTGAGTGCTCTTCTCTGGATGGAGGATGGAGATATGAGTGTGGGTATCTCTAGCTTTTACTGTACCAAGGTAAGAGTCACACCTGTGACTCCACCCACTTTTACCTCTAGCCCATTACCTGCACGCTGCCCCCTGAAGGTTGTGCATGAGGAAATTTGGCCCTCAAGCTGCTGAAGGTTCTCCATCACTGAACTACAGCAAACAGATGAGTTTTGGGTGGAAGTCTATAGCTAGGGAAGTCTAAGTTCAGAAAAGCACACTAATTTTGACGGTGCTTTTTTTATAATTAATTTTCACATTTCTGGTCTTAAGCCCAGTCATCCCAGAGACCTCCAAGGCCACATATACTCTGGAGTCCAGATGAAGTGCTCAGAAGTTGGGAAGAATCTGGAAACAATGCCCCCACACTCAAGCCATGGGGAGAATCCACCAGGGAAAGCTTCTGCTGCTGCTACCTTTGATCATTAAGCCTCCGGTACTTTTCTTTGTCGGCGCTGTTAATTTTCAGGAGCGGCTGCAGATGCTCATGGTGGGTCTTCACATTCTGGTTATCCACGTAGACGTCGTAGAGATCCCGCTTCTCCTCAAAGATTTTCTCTGTTGTGCCTGCCGGAAACAGAGGAAGAGAACGGGTTGGGCTGTTAGTGAAATCAGTATTCATAACCATCAGTTTATTTGTATGACACTCTGCCACAAAGCATCCCCACATGCAGCCTCCTACACACACAATGAAACAGCGTAGTCCTAGAAAACTGCTGAATGCTGCCCATGATCCCTTAGGTACCCACTGTTAAGGCAAGGCTCCACAAGGGGGCTGGAGGGTAGCAACACGAGAACAGGCCTTCTCTGCAGTGGCTCCCCGTTGTTGGAATGCTTCCCCCCCGGGAGGTTCGGCTGGAACCTTCATTATACAGTTGTACCTCGGGTTACAGACGCTTCAGGTTACAGATGCTTCAGCTTACAGACTCCACTAACCCAGAAACAGTACCTCAGGTTAATAACTTTGCTTCAGGATGAGAACAAAAATTGCGCGGTGGCAACGGTTGGCCCCATTAGCTAAAATGGTACCTCAGGTTAAGAACAGTTTCAGGTTAAGAATGGACCTCCAGAACGAATTATGTTCTTAACCAGAGGTACCACTGTACACCCTTAAGGTGCCAGACGAAAACATTCCTCTTCACCCAAGCCTTTGGCTGATTGACATCGATTTTAAATGTGTTGTGGGAGGGGGGATTCTTGGTTTGCTGTTGTTCTTATTTTTATTATGTATTTTGTATTTTTAATTGTGTAATTTTATGTTGTGTACTGCCCTGAGATCTACAGATGAAGAATATACCGTTAATTATATTATTAACACTGTACATAACAGTTTCTTCTTGTCTCCAGCCCAAACCCTTGCATAAACCCTTTGTCATCTTGGGGTGACAAAGCAAGCAAACATATGCTTATAGAAAAGGTGTGAGGAACCTTTTTCAGCCTCAGCTGCACTGCATCATGGGAAATCTTCTGGGGGCCACATTCCAATGGTTGGCAGGGCCAGAAGGAAAAGTGGGTGGAGCAATGGGTGTGGGTCTTACTACTGTTGTACAACACACTACCTTTCAAGCACACAAAAGCCAGGGGGTCCTATGCATGCACACTCTTCTTTCCATCATTCATCCAGGCAAGCAAGACTCAATGTCATAGTTAAGGTGCCTGTTCCAGCCAGGCAAAGCGGTAGCGGAGGGTGCAGAGCAGGGCCAGGAAGGGGCGTGGCCTCTGGAAGAGTACTGAGGGTTAGGCTAGAGAAGCCTGGAGGACTGTCCCCCCCACCCCTTGCATGGGATGCTTCATACTTACAGGCCACATACGACACTTCCGTCTCCAGCATTTCAATGTCAGCCACGTTGACGTAGAAGAAAGGCTTGGACTCAGGAACAGTCCCACCGATTCCAGGCAAGGAGACATTGGCAAGGCAACAGCAGCAATAAACTGCAGACAAGGGCAGAGAGAAGGCATGGTCTTCAGTCTACATGGCATTGTCTTCATCAAAATGCTACCCCATATCCCTGCTCCCTTGCCTTTAATACAGATTCACCGTTTCCTTTTTCGGCAGAAACTGGATTAAAACTTTGGGTGGGTGTGGGTGTGTGTACACACACACACACATAAAGGTAAAGGTAAAGGGACCCCTGACTGTTAGGTCCAGTCGCGGACTCCTCTGGGGTTGCGGCGCTCATCTCCCTTTATTAGCCGAGGGAGCCGGCGTACAGCTTCCGGGTCATGTGGCCAGCATGACTAAGCCGCTTCTGGCGAACCAGAGCAGCGCACGGAAACGCCGTTTACCTTCCCGCTGGAGCGGTACCTATTTATTTACTTGCGCTTTGACGTGCTTTCAAACTGCTAGGTGGGCAGGAGCAGGGACCGAGCAACGGGAGCTCACCCCATCACGGGGATTCGAACCGCCAACCTTCTGATCGGCAAGCCCTAGGCTCTGTGGTTTAACCCACAACGCCACCCGTGTCCCCCCCCCCTATATATATATGATGGCATTTTGATGAGTACAATGTTGTGTGGATGCAAACCTTGCATGCACAAGCAACACCAAGTCTGCAAACAAACAGCCATGTGGAGGCACTCATCGTTTCCGAAACAGCTGCCCTCGTGAGCAAACAAGCACACAAAAATCCAAATGCTATTTCTGTCTTATCATCAAATCTTTTATATTTTTTTAAAAAAACTCTTTTGGTTTTTAAAAACAGGAGAACATGAAACAATTGATGAGTTATCAGTAAGAAGATCCTTTCCACAAGATGCAGCGTACCAACTAAGATCAAGGACTCAGCTAAGATTTATATGATGAATGAACAGCTCTGCTTTCTCACCTACGGAGCACAGAACATGTGCTTGGTTCCCCCCTGGCCATTATGCCCCAAACTCAACCAAGAGGTGTCACAATAAGGCAGCAATCTTATACCAACTTACCTGACAGGAAGTCCCACTGAACTCAATGCTACTTACTGCTGAGTAGGCAAAGGGTTGCACTGTAAAACGTAAAAAAGCCCTAACTAGGGTTAGGAGAGCTGGAAAAAATTCACATCGGGCAACCAATGGTTTCAGATAGCACATGAGTACACAAATCTAAAAAGCTCAGGAAACAAATTTCCATGGCCCTCTAGCAGCTGTGGCAACTCATTTATCAGTACAGTGGTACCTCAGGTTACATAACGCTTCAGGTTACATATGCTTCAGGTTACAGACTCCGCTAACCCAGAAATAGTACCTCGGGTTAAGAACTTTGCTTCAGGATAAGAACAAAAATCGTGCTCCGGCGGCGCGGCAGCAGCAGGAGGCCCCATTAGCTAAAGTGGTGCTTCAGGTTAAGAACAGTTTCAAGTTAATAACGGACCTCCAGAACGAATTAAGTACTTAACCCGAGGTACCACTGTAGTAATATATTTATTGTTAACTCTTGAATTATATATATACTCTGTTCTGACCAAACCAAGCCTCTCAGGAGGCTTTTGCTCTGGGTAAATGAGCCAGCATAGCATCTAGAAGGCGATGGAAATTTGTGTCCTGGCCTACCATGTACTATCTGAAACCAGAGGGGTGAACAGGTTGTCAGATGTGACAACCTGCGCATTAGTGTTCAGATTGTTTAAAATGCTGCCCTGTTTAGTTCTGGCTGCAGGCATTTCTCTTCTCTCACTGCATTTTGTAGTTTTGCGTTTGCTGTCTCAAACCTGCAGCAATTATCTTGTGTGGATTACGTTTTATTCACAGTTTCATACACCACTTTGGAATCTGTTGGTGCAGGGCGTTTAGAAAGAAACATTTCAAGCAAACAAACAGCAGAGGGGAGAAACTTTCACCATGCGTGATTTGATAACACGGACCACATCTCCCATTTTCTACGTACCTCTATAGCAGACCACCCCGACAGGAGGCGGGGAAAATATCAAAATGCGTTTCCGAAGCAAGGCGAACTTCCAGAGAGTCAGGATCTGCTCGCCAAAGAACTTAATGAACTGAGACATACAGCCTGCAGGGTGCGTGATCTGCAGCCAGATAAAAAAACAGAGCAGGGAGTTAGCAACGAAACAGAAACAAGATGGCTCCCATTTTTGCTGCTGGGGTGATGACTGCTAAAAACAAACAACAGATTCGAGAAAGGGGAGGAGAAGTACCCTGGCGCTTCGAATGCCCAGAAACTTCTATCCTTTCAGGCAAACAGAAGCAATGAACCACACAGCTCACTTTGCAACCTTGGGCCAACACCCTCTCTCTCAGCTTATCCTAACACACAAGGTTGTGAGGGTACATTGTGGAAGATACATGTACGTTGCTCTGAACTCTTTGGAGGAGGAGATGGAGGTGGATAAAAATGGAACAAACAAACAAATAAAAACACTTTTCTGTAGAGCACCTGCTCTACTCCTGGTTGTGCAATAGAGCAGTAAACTGGGTGATAAGAGCGCACTGAATTTCCCAACTTTCCAAATTCCAAAATGGGAGCTGCTAAAAAGTTTTAACCTGACTTCGGAATTCAATATATTTTGGTTAAATTAATATAATTTGGTTTTGCTTTGTAAGTAAAATATGTGCAAAATTGCAGAGAAATCATTAAAAGATGATTGCCAAGTACTTACAGTTGTATATATTAATAATAATAATTATTATTATTTATTTAGCAGTACATGACATCTTCATAAGGCAAAACTAAAATTATTCAGTTTTCCAAAAGCAGCTTATGTGCTTCTTCAACAAACATAAGACTTACCAAGCTAAATGTGCCCAGTCACAAACATAATGTCAGCTTTGAATTACTAACATCCAAAAACATTTTTTAAAGGCCCCTCACAATGAAGAAATTTGCAAAAAAATAAGTTTCATGCCCTACTGTCACAAAATGCAAGAGGCCTCCAGAGATCCATCTTGGCCGCTAGCTAAAGCTACTTCGTGGCATCTGACCAGTGTGGATCATTGGCACGCTCTGCCTTCATGCGAAGATCAATAACCGCAGCCTATTTCTCACCTTCATCTCTGGGTACATGTATCTGTGGATGGAAGGCAGCCAGTGGACGGTTTGCTGGGAAACAAGAGTGCCGGCAGGGAGGACCCCTTTCTTGTCATCATAAAATGCCTCCAGGTGAGAGTAATGCCCTGGCATCTCCAGCTGATGTCTGTAAGGCAAGCAGAAAAGCGAGTCACAAAGGGTAACCAGAGAACAACCCTCCATTTGCAAGCCAGCGCTATCAGTTTTGCATCAGTGGCACCTGCTGGTCCTTCTTGCCAGTTCTGGCTCTTTGGTGGTCACATGATTCCTTTCCTATAAGAACACAGGAAGAACCTGCTGTTCTCACAGGGAGCAACCAGATGCCTTTGGGAAGTCAAAAAGGCAGGACCTGAGTGAAACAGCACCCTCCCACATGGCTCCTGGTGCAGAACAGCTTCCATGCTTAAGCACCTGGTGGCCTAAACAGTAGCATCCAGCCTCCATGCATGTGTCTTTTCAGAGCTGTTATTTATTTCACTTACGAATTGCTTCCTACAAGGCACCTTGCGGTGGTTTGCAATGAAACAAGAGCACGTTGCAAACAATCGCAAACATAAAAATAGTCAAAACGACTGCATTTATAAAAGGAAAAAAGGCATTGTGCATAAAACCATTAAAACTACAATTACATATATATATATATATATATATTTGCTTTCGTAGATTTTCACGGGTACAGGAATGCAGGTTTTGGTGTCCTCAGGTGTCTTCCCGTGTAAAAGTTGGGGTGTCTAGGCGACGTTTCGACGAGGTCTCACTCGTCATCTTCAGGCTGGTGCTTTCGGCTTCTTGTTATATATATATACACACACACACATACACACACATACACACACACACACACACACACACACACACACAGTGGTACCTCAGGTTACATACGCTTCAGGTTACAGACTCTGCTAACCCAGAAATAGTGCTTCAGGTTAAGAACTTTGCTTCAGGATGAGAACAGAAATTGTGCTCCGGCGGCACGGCAGCAGCAGGAGGCCCCATTAGCTAAAGTGGTACATCAGGTTAAGGACAGTTTCAGGTTAAGAACGGACCTCTGGAACAAATTAAGTACTTAACTCGAGGTACCACTGTAATTTGTTTCATGCTCAGTACATATACCAACAAGATTCACTTGGGAGGCTTGTTAGAAAGAGAAGAGTCTTCAACAAGTGCCTAAAAGACAACAGAGGTGGCCTGACTTCTACATGTCCCTGCTGGAAAATGACTTGGCAAAGAGGGTCATCCAAGTCACATCTGACACCATCCCAGAAAAGCCACCACGGTATTCCAGCACGAACCAAACATTTCTCCCGAACCACTTTATGGTCCAGTAACAACCTCCCTCCCATTCTCCCTTTTTTTCTAATAACGTACCTGACCTGGTTCTCCAGGAAGTGCATGTATCTATACAGCAGGGTGTAGGAAGGAGAAAGAATCCCCACAGACTTCATCCGAGCGCCACGCTCCAACTCGCTCTCCACAGGCATGTTGGCGAAACAGGCCAAGCCAAAGCAAAGGCCTTTCCGGAAGTAACTGGAAAGGAAGATGGAATGGGAATAAAATAGGCAAATTGGGGGGGGGGGGAGGCATGCAGAAAAAGCAGGAAGGAGACACGGTGCTTCCTGGATTGCAGGGGGTTCGACTAGATAACCCTCAGAGTTTCTCCCAACTCTACAGTTCTATGATTTTTCCAGATACACATGTGTGCGCGCTAAAGACGCACTGAATTTGGACGCAAATCGCATTTGCTTGCTTTCCAGAACAGCAGCTGGATTGGTCCGTTGTGCTAAAAGAAAATAAATCTCTCTGCCTAGTTCTCCGAGAGTTACTCCACGAAACCAAGTTGGCCTTACTTCAGAGTAGACCTGCCCAGGACTAGGAAATATTATTATTATTATTATTTATACCCTGCCCTCCCCGGACAGAGCCGGGCTCAGGGCAGATAACACCGGTAAAATTACAGTAAAAACATATTAGGGGGTGGGGGAAACAATTTAAAATACAGGTTAAAATGCAATTTAAAATGCATCCTCATTTTAAAAGTAGCCCATAGATCAAAACCATCAGGGTTCTAATTTGAGAGCACCATGATGAGAGTTGAAGGAGGGCAGTCTTTATGCTGGGCTAGTTAATCCAGAATGTTTAGTCTCTGGGCTCTCCCCATCATCAGCTCTGGCTCTGCTCATGACTAAAGGGCTGCCTCCAACGGGTAACTCCATCTGCATCAACCAGGGTGCTGGTGGGAGTGAGGGGTGTATCTGTGCACAGAGCAAACCTTCCCCCTCCCAAAAGCCCTTGCAATATGCACTCAAACAGGGGAGTAAGGGCAGGGTATAAATTCAACAAATAAATGACTATATAACGAATATACCCTGTTAGTCTACAATGGTAACCGCCTCGTCTATTTCATCAGGGGCAGCCTGTGCCGTGTGCTTTCTGGACAATGGAAGGATACGCACATTTGAACAGCACAAGCAGCACCCTGGGGACGTTTTGTACACTCACATGAAATCCGACTGAACTTTATGGGACCCGCTGGCCATGGATTTGAACTCGACGCCTTCCAGGTCAATGTCTTGCGGCAAACACCACTCAACCATGTTACCTGTGGAGGAGAGGGGAGAACGCAGCATGAACACACACCTGGGCACAAACATCAAGGCAATTGGCCAGAACGTATTATGCAGACGTGCCTACAATGGTCACTAATTCTGCTAGCTATGGGAAGGAGGAAGAGGCTACGAATGGCAAACTGCTCCTCAACTCAGCAGTCTCACACCGACCTCTCAGATCCAAGCAGAGTGGCTGGGGAAACCCAGCCAGATGGGTGGGGTATAAATAAATGATTATGATTGTGATTATGATTATTATAGAGCAGAAAGAGACAGGAAGCAGGGCCACTCCATCAGCTCAGCTGAAAGAAGAGCAGTTTTTGCCTCCTTCCCTCCTTGAACAGTTTTCCATTGCTGCTGGTCCTTACAAGCACTCCGTAACTAAGATATAATGCCTGAGCTCGCTTCCCCCCCTCCTCCTGCCCAATCCCTTTTCCTCTTGTGTCATGTCTTTTAGACTGCAAGTCTGGGGGGTAGGAGCTGATTTAATAGAGATATTTGAAAGGCACTTTGGGAGCCCTTTGTCAGCTGAAAAGGGGGGTTAAAATGTTTATATAAGTCCATATAGTGCAATAGTGTTATCTCTGACAGGCCAGAACTCTCAAGGGGCTGAAGCAAAGATAAGATTTTTGACTTGATCCTTTTAAACTGGAGATGCCATGGATCTTCCACATGGAAAACCTGTCTCTGCTCAGTCCTCTTGAGTTATAGTCCCTCCTTAAAATCTGTGCCTCTCCTGCGCCTTATCCCCTTTCCTTTTGGCCTTGTCCTTTTAGTTATCTTTACTGATTACACAGTTATCCAGCCCTTCATTGGAGGAGCTCATGTCATCCTCACAACCACCCAGTGAGGTAGGTTAGGCTGAGAAAGTGATTCGGCCCAAGGTCACCCAGTGAGCTCCACTTCTGATGACAGGAGCCAGCCACCAGTAAATCACACTGAGCAAGTTGGAGTTGACTCTTTATTAGCAGAAAAACAGGGTCTGCACAGGAGTGCCAGGCCTAATGAGAACAACAACTCATCTCTGGTCGGTCTTGCCCCCATGAAGCAGTTGAGGAGACTGCAGGTCCCTGTCTCCCCACAGCTGCCTAAGTCCCCTCCTCTCCAGGGTTTCCCCCCTGCAATCTGAAACTGTGCCTGTGTGAAGCTAACTTCTCAACCCTTTTCATGCCTCTTTTGGTTCTGGGAGACCAAGGGGGAAAGGAGGGAGCTAGTTGTAGCAGGAGAGGGAGACACCTGTGATTCCTCACCAGCTCTGGCTCTTGGCCCGCCTTATCTCCATCCTCTGCTTCTGCCTCTGATTCTGGACTGCTCTCTGCCACAGCCTCTTCCTGCTCACTAAGTCCTGTTACCTCTTCAGCCTCTGACACCTCCTCTTCCAAGTCTGCTCCCTCTTCTCCCTCTGCCCACTAATCGTCGTCCCACCACCACTCCCTAGGCTCTGAGTCTTCTTCCCTTGGGGGTTCCCCAACTGTTGCCTCCCACCACTCCTCTGCATCCAACCGGTCCATCACACCGAAGTTGGGATTTGAACCTAGGTCTCCATGGTCATGATTTGACACTCTTAACCAGGCATAGGCAAACTTGGCCCTCCAAATGTTTTGGGACTACAACTCCCATCATCCCGGACCTCTGGTCCTGTTAGCTAGGGATGATGGGAGTTGTAGTCCCAAAATATCCAGAGGGCCGAGTTTGCCTATGCCTGCTCTTAACCATGGTATCAGACTGGCTTTCCACACCACACCGCCACCTGGGTGAACTTAGTCACAAGGGAGACGCTGATCGAAGGTTGCCTCTTACGAAACCTAGCTCCACCAAAAACACGGCATTTTTTTCTCCAAGAGAGACTGTGAAGGCTGATCCTCAAAATAGATGCTGCCACACTCAATATTTTTCAAGGTGAAACATGACCAGCATGGCAAAGAGTGGGGAAAATACTTGAAAAGCACCCACTGCAACTGTTGTAAATTTTAGCTGATGATTGCAGGCTGTTTATCTCAGATGGGCAGAAATGACAAGCTTAGATTCTAGGCCCCCAAAAGTAACAGCTTTATTTTCCCTGTTCCAATCCTCTGCCCTAAAAAAACAACAACCCTCTATCCACTGGGATCCGTACACTGGAAAAGCTATCAAGCCCACAAAGATGTCAATAGCCTCGCTATTATGTTGTTGCCAATCGGGCTGTGTTTTATATAGAAATTTCCCATTGCATGCGCAAACATTGATCAATAAAATTATATTTAGCTGCTGAAATCAAGCGTTGCCTATCATGTTCCTTCAGGAGCCTGAGTAAGCCCTGGGCCTAGTTAAGCAATATTATTTGCTTCACGGAAAGCAAAGCCTCATACATTCAGCCGTCTTAACTTAGTAGGTAGCAGAAAATTATTATTACAGAAACCACATTCTCTTTCTCCCAAGAGCTGCCTGTTTAACATGCATCATCTTTCATTCTGGTATCTAACTACTTCACTTGAGCAGCTGTGCCTCACCTCAAGCAAGCGCCCTCCTTCTGATTCCTCCTTTTACAACAAAGTACACTAAAGAACATCTGATAATTCAGGGATGGGGAACCTGTGGCCTTCCAGACACTACTGGAGTCCAACTCCCATCAGTCCCAGTCAGCATTGGCAAATAGGTCAGGAATAATGGGAGTTTATTGATGTATTTATTACCTTGATATCCCACCTTCTCCTTCAAGGAACTCAAGGTGATGTTCACTGTTCTCCGCACCTTGTTTAATCCCCAAAACAGTGTTAGAAATTAGCCAGGAGCCAGGCACGTTTTGCGACTGGCGGAGGTCCAATTGCGACCAAGTTGAGATCTCTGGATGATAGGTTGGTGGCTGACATCTCCATCTGCCTGTTTCCCCCAACCTTTCTTAAGCAGGTAAGCAGAAGGGCTTATTTATTGCATTTATATCTCACCTTTTTCTCCAAGGAGTACAGTGGTACCTCGGGTTAAGCACTTAATTCGTTCCGGAGGTCCGTTTATAACCTGAAACTGTTCTTAACCTGAAGCACCACTTTAGCTAATGGGGCCTCCTGCTGCTGCCGCACCGCCGGAGCACGATTTCTGTTCTTATCCTGAAGCAAAGTTCTTAACCTGAAGCACTATTTCTGGGTTAGCGGAGTCTGTAACCTGAAGCGTATGTAACTTGAAGCGTATGCAACCTGAGGTACCACTGTATATGGTTCACCCCCCTCCTCAGTTAATCCCTATAGCAATCCTGGTAAAGAGGCTGTGACTGGCCCAAGGTCACCCAGTGAGCCTGCGTGGGGATTTGAACCCTGATCTCCCATGTCCTAGTCCGACAATCTACCCACTACACCACACTGCCTTCCTAGGGTACTTCTGCTATGCGGCAGCTCCATAAATTAAGTAGGTAAATAGATATGGGGAAGGCAAAAATGTCACTTAGAGAAGGATCTGAAATATTTTCCTGGAAGCTTGTTTGTTTTATTCCGGATTGGTTTATTTGATGTCTGAATGTGTTGTAAACTGCTTTGAGGTTTTTTCTTTAAAATATAAAGCGATATAGAAATGAAATGATAGATAGATAGATAGATAGATAGATAGATATAGATAATTCATTGCAAAAGAGAGAGAGTTGCCTAGACTAGACTATCTAGGGATGGCAGGTTTGTTGGTTTTGAATGTCTTATGTAGATTTTTTTCTTTTCAATTTTGTTGTTCTCTATGGCACAATGACAATAAAGATTATTGTATCGTATCGTATTTGTTTTATTCCGGATTGGTTTATTTGATGTCTGAATGTGCTGCGGGAGGCAGTGGAAGACAGGAGTGCCTGACCACGGGGTCATGAAGAGTCAGACACGACTAAACAACAACATCGTATCGTATCATATTGACAATCCCTTGTAGTGACATTAATTAGTGTTTAAGGTGGCATTAAACAGAAAAACCAAGGCAGACCTTTTAACATCACAGTAATCCAAGTTTATGCACCAACTACTGGTGCTGAAGAATCTGAAATTGACCAATTCTATGAAGACTTACAACACCTTATAGAAGTGACACCAAAGAAGGATGTTCTTCTCATTATAGGGGACTGGAATGCTAAAGTAGGGAATCAAGAGATAAAAGGAACAACTGGCAAGTTTGGCCTTGGAGATCAAAACGAAGCAGGGCAAAGGCTAATAGAGTTCTGTCAAGAGAACAAGCTGGTCATCACAAACACGCTTTTCCAACAACACAAGAGACGACTCTACACATGGACATCACCAGATGGGCAGCATCGAAATCAGATTGATTATATTCTCTGCAGCCAAAGATGGAGAAGCTCTATACAGTCAGCAAAAACAAGACCTGGAGCTGACTGTGGCTCAGATCATCAGCTTCTTATAGCAAAATTCAAGCTTAAACTGAAGAAAGTAGGAAAAACCACTGGGCCGGTAAGATACAATCTAAGTCAAATCCCTTATGAATACACAGTGGAAGTGACGAACAGGTTTAAGGATTTAGATTTGGTGGACAGAGTGCCTGAAGAACTATGGATGGAGGCTCGTAACATTGTACAGGAGGCAGCAACGAAAACCATCCCAATGAAAAGGAAATGCAAGAAAGCAAAGTGGCTGTCCAACGAGGCCTTACAAATAGCAGAGGAGAGAAGGCAAGCAAAATGCGAGGGAGATTGTGAAAGATACAGGAAATTGAATGCAGATTTCCAAAGAACAGCAAGGAGAGACAAGAAGGCCTTCTTAAACGAGCAATGCAAACAAATAGAGGAAAACAACAGAATGGGAAGAACCAGAGATCTGTTCAAGAAAATTGGAGATATGAAAGGAACATTTCGTACAAAGATTACCATAATAAAAGACAAAAGTGGAAAGGACCTAACAGAAGCAGAAGACATCAAGAAGAGGTGGCAAGAATACACAGAGGAACTATACCAGAAAGAAATGGATGCCTCGTACACCCTAGGTAGTGTGGTTGCTGACCTTGAGCCAGACATCCTGGAAAGTGAAGTCAAATG